AGCCACAATCCCCTTGGCTGCATATGGAGCTTTGTGCCACGGCCATTTAAATGCTAAGGCCACTGCTGGAGGAGGGGAGTCTGAACACTGTATCAAAGGAACTGAATTCAGATTTGATGTTGTGTGTAAGGTTTCCTGGTGTGACCAGAAGGGCTGGGGTCGTGAATGCTATTTAGGAAAACCGGGGCGTGGGGGGGACAGCTAAGTTACCGTCCCCACTTCTTTCCTCTCAACCACCCCACACACACTCCTACTACCAAACACTCCTGGCTGGAACCCTCATCCTTTGGGTACGAATCTCAGGCCCTGCTGCGCTCCCAGCTCATTCCCACGTGCACACTCGGCGAGATGCTCGGCCGCACACAGCACTTCCGGGGCCGTGCCCGGACTTCACTTGCCCACAGACGACCTTGGGAGGAGGCAGATCCCAGCCACTTCCTCCTCACCTCACAGCCTCAGTGGTCTGACCACTGTCACTGTCCCATCCTCCCTGGCAGCACCTAGGAACGCCAGGGGCGCAGGGGGTAAGGACGCGAAGTACAGGCTCCCCGGCCCCTCCCAACAGAGGCAGAGGTCCTGTGCTGCGGACCACACAGGGCACACAGAAACCTTTTCCCAGGAACGCCGCACGAGCCTTCAGCAGCCCAGGGTTGAGCAGGGCTGGTGGGTCTCTGGCTAAGGTCCACGGCACAGAGTAGGCACTCGGGCTGAACTGGACGCACCCCGCTCCTGCACTCCCACTGTATCCCGGTTGCTCAGAGACAGTATTTGAACTTTTAAAAGAAACAGAGTCTCCTCTGATCAGAGCAGCTGGCAGAGGTTGAAGGTGGCCCTGCTGAGCTGGCCTGTATCAAATCTAAATCTAAATAAGTCTTTCCCAAGTTGTGGGAAGGAGGAAGGGGCAGTTAAAATGGGGAGTCACCCAGGCAAAGGTGCCCCCCAACCAAGGCACGCCTTCCTGCTCAAAGGCAGGGTGACAGGGAGGTGACAAGGGACATGGAAGCGAGCACCATGGGTCCTGGTCCCCTGCCATTGACAGGCACGCACTGTGACAGCTTTCCTGGCTAACACATCGCGGTTCCAGGAAGGGAACTAGCAAAGGGTGAGGATCGCAGCGAGTTCAGGCAGGATCGAGCCCTCTTAAGCAAACACTGAGCACAGAAGTAATTCCCATTCAAAGCACGATTTACTGTGGGCCTGGCCAGGCCTTCGCAGCACAGAGCCCTTTTCAAACACTCAGCCTCACCCCTGAATATGGCTGGGGGAGGGGGCCTGCCCACACAGCTGCATTTGAATTCCACTCTTTCCAGTGGCGTCAGCTTCCTGGTGACCTACTGGGAGCTGCCCAATTAGGGCAAACCTCAAAGCAACCTTAGCGAGGAGAAAATCTGTGTAGAATGAGTGAGTGTCAGCTCCTCAAGAGCAGGAACAGCAGAATCCTATGGAGTAGATCTAGCTCAAGCAGACACTTGTCTGTCAACAGCAAACCCCGGCCCTCCACCGCTCATAGTGCACTGCTGCGGACTGAAGGGGATGTGAGTTTTAAGAGGTTAAGTATTGTCGCTGTTACTGTCCCATTTCACAGATGGGAAAATGGAGGCTCCGTGATCGTGATGAACACCTCTCCTGACTCTAAATCCCTCTTACTGTAGACATGTTAGCCTGACTCTGCTAATTATCAAAGTGGCAAAATGTTTACGATAGGGCTGTCCCTACTAGGAGGAAATATGGGAATAAGGATGTAGCTGGAGGCCAAGATAATTCCAAAGAAAGCAACACTGAAACTGTCCTTCGCCATCACTGATCCCAGCGCTCCTGAGCATGAAATCTGAGTTGTGGGGGGAAGGGCCCTCTAGGCAAGAGCTGACCACCATGTTTTGCAGTGGCACATTAGTGCAGCCTGCTGGCTCTGATTCCAGAATGGCCTCCCGTCCACCACCCTATCCAAGTCATCATCTCAGGTCGGAATCAGCTTCCCAGCTAACCTGCTTCCATTCTTGCTCTACTTCCAACTATTCTCTACTTAGCAGCCAAACCAATCTCTTTAAATTTTTCCCCACTTTTAAAAGTAATTCATGACCATTGTACCTTAGGAAAAAAACCAACGGACAATAAAGAAGGAAATAAAAGTCACCCATATGTCTGGCATCTAGAATTAACCTCCATAAACACTTGACACAGCCTTCTACTTTTCTATGTATGTATGCATGATGAGCATGTGTACACATGTAATTATCTTTACAAAACTGCTACTATACAATAGTTTTGTATCATTTTTTTCACTTTTTATCATGCACATTGTCCAGGTTATAAGCTATTCTTTTCTGACTGTGCTTTTTGGAGTTGGGTGTTTGGGGCATAGTTGATACTTGCACATGGTACTTGATTTATTAAGGATGAAAGGGTCTACAATGAAAATACCATCTTTCCTTCATCCCATCCCTCCAGCCACCATTTCCCTCCCCTGGGGAAATTCTGATTACCTTTTTTTCTTATCAAACAATCCTTTAAAATCATCAATCACATCCATTCACTCTCTTTAACACCCTCCAATTGCCCTGGCTTTCCATTGCCCTGGCCATAAAATCCAGGGTCCTAACCAGTCCGACCAGGTCCCCTGTGACCAGGCTCTGGGCCTGCTCTTATTTCTCATCTCCCCCTGCAGCCACATTGCTGTTGCGAACCCTGGCCTCTGGGATTCTTCATGTGCTGTTCCTTCTGCCTGGAATCCCCTTTCTCCAGGTCTCTCTGTGCAGCTGCCTCCCTCTCCTCCTTCAGGCTGAAGTGTCCTCTCCCTGGGGCAGCTCTCACAGGCCTGCCTCCACATTTCATTCTCTGTTACATCACTTGTTCTAGTTCTTTCACATCACACAGGATCTAATATTGTCTTGGATACTTATTTCAAGTTATGTATTGCCTGCTTCCTCCCACTATAAAGAAGGCTCCTAACACTAACCTGTCGTGCTCACACCAGAAGCCTCATTCCCTGGGGCAGGGCCTGGCACATAATAGGCATTCAACAAATTTCTATCAAAGGAATGAAGGGGGGGGGACGGCAATGCTGGTTCTCATCACCAAAAACAGCCCACTTGCAGGCTCTCCAAGCGCCGAGAGCCGCACCCCTAGCCATCCTCCCCAATGCTTGGGGTGAAGGCTACAGGGTCAGAGAAAGAGGAGGATTCAGTTGTCCAAAGCAGCAGCCACCTGCTCTTCCTCCCGGACACCCAGCTCACCCCTTACTTGTGCTGTGCCATTGCAGAGCCCAGAATCTGACAAGGACTTTGGGACAAACCCAAATTCCTAGAAAACACTCTAACTGCAAGTGATAAGTTGAAGGCCAGACTTTTGCCCCTTGCTTACCCCCAAATCCCACATGCAATCTGTCCAGGCTGCTGGGATATTCCAGGTTCCCAAGTGAGCCCCAGCATCAGGTAACACAGACCCCACCAAGGAGCAGAGCTCCCCCAGGTACAGCCAGCCCATCCTGCATGACTCTCCCCCAGGCCCCAGACACCTGGGCTCCTCTCTCTGGAAATTCATCCAGCCCCAGAGACACAAATGCGCATCCAATCCGGAGCCAGCAGCCCAGACCAGGGTACTCGGGGGACAGCCTGTGGAGTCACTTCCTTCCTGGGGCCCCATTTCCACTGAGAGAACACTGCAGTTGGGCCAGAATTGATTTTTAAGAGTGAGAAAGAGGAGGGAATGAAGTGTCTTTCACAGGAATTGGAAGAGAGGAAGAAAGGAAGGGGGGAAAAAGGAAAAAAAAAAAAAAAAAAAAGACAGGTCTGTCTATATGAGATACAGACAGACAAGGAATAGAAAGACCTAAGAAGCCAAAATCAAGAAAGGGTGGGAAGAAGTGTGAGGTTTCTTCATTCCCAAAAGTGGACAATTGTAACTGGTTAAATGAGCACAATTCCAAAGTGACCATCTGGGCTCTGTTCAAGGTGAGTCCAGTGACTGTGGCAGTGAGCGCTAACATTTTCCAGTGCTCACTACATGCCAGGCATGTTCTACGAACTTAGCTTTATACTGTGAATCATCAAAACAATCTCATGAGGCACGTGCTGTTCTTATTAAACCCATTTTGCAGATGAGCAAAGCAAGGCACAGAGCAGCCAGGGTAAATTGCTCAAGATCATGCCGTCAGTGGCCAGTATCTCGCACCTAACTCCGGAGCCCTGGCTCTTTTCCACTAAGTTATACTTAGCTTTCAGGGGTCCAAGTGGGGGTGGGGGGGGTCCCTACCCTCCTGGAACTCATGCCTTCCAAACTAGTCGTCGCCAGCTTCAAAGACGGGTGCATAATTCTCCCCATCTTGCACAGGGTAAAATCTAGAAAAGTTACAGGGCTTCCCTGGGCTCACGCTGCCCATAGGTGGGGAATTAGGACCAAGACGTGCTGAATCCCAGCTTCTTGGGCGCCACTTCCGAAGGGAGCACAGTGGAAAACCAGGATCTCTGAAAACTCCGCCCAGAGCAGCAGCATCTCCGGCTGTCTTTGCCGGACCCCTCCACCAGCGCCAGCGTCGGGGCGCCCTGCCCGGAAATTCCCACAGAGTCAAAGCAAACTTCCCGGGAAAACGCCTCGGCTTCCTTGTAGCCCCCGTCGCGGAGAAGGCTGCCAAGGGTGCCGCTGGAGTTGTTGCAGCTGCCGCAGGCCCTCCGGGGCGGGAGCCGCAGCTCGTGCGCTCGGGGTCCTCCCGGAAAGGTCCAGGGCTGAAGTTCAAAATTCACTTTCCGCGCAGGCACGGCGAACGGCCCCGCCCGAGGCTCGCGGGCACCCCCACGCCTCTTGCCCTCCCCGGCCCCAGATAAGTAAAGGGGTACCTCCAGCCTGAAAAGCAGGCTGGCAGCTGGGAAAATCCCGCGGGCGGTCCCAGCGCGTCTGGGGACTCAAGCAGCCGGCGCGCGCGCGCGCGCGCACGCACACACACACACACACACACACACACACACACACGTGTGTGTGTGCGCGCGCGCGCGCGGGTGTGTGTATGTGTATGTGTGTGTTTACGTACGAATGCTCGGGGTGGGAAAACAATGGCGAGCGCTGGGAACACAGCGGCAAGCCCCCTCCCCACCGCCCTGGCCCCAGGCACGATTTCCTTCAGCAGTGAAATAGGGATGAAAAGATTCACCTCCGCCATCCGAAGGCGGGGAGGTGGGGGGCGGGGGGCGCTGAAACAGGAGCAGCCGCAGCTCAAAACAAACAGGCTGCAGCGCCCGGCTGGTCCGCTGGGGACGAACCTGGAGGGATGGAAAGGACCGCGACGCTGGCCCCCGGCACCCCGCACAACCAGGGCGGCGGGTGGATCTGCGTCTCAGCGCGGGTACCCGAGCCCCACGCTGGGCGCGCACAGGTCCTCTCGGATTCCTGCTGGGAAATCCTCGGCCTGGGCGTATAAAGCCTGGTGAGAAAGACCCAGTGCCCCCGGCCGGTCGGCGAGGAGCAGGAGTGGTGCGGCACCCCATGCTCGGCTCGGTGGTGCGCGCACACACACAGACACAAACAGCCACCCACGGCCTCACCAGGCTGCCACCCCGCTCCCAAGGACCTGGGTCCGCCCGCGGGGAGCCGCCACCGGCACGCGTTGTTGGGGATACGTAGGGGTCCGTTCCTTCTCGAAAAACTTTGCAAAAGGCGGAAACTCGCAGAGATAAGAGACGGCGTGTGCCCAGCAACGTGGGGGCGCGAGTGTCAAACTTCGGAGGGCCGGGGAGAGGGGCGCGGCGGCACGCAGCGCTCGCGGCGCGGAGGGGGCGCACTTACTACTCAGCCCGGTGCCGGGCTCGGCGCTCGCGGCTCCGCGCTCCTGCTCCTCCGTGCAGGTCCTCGCGGCCGGCAGCCCGGGGTTCCCGCTCACATGCCCGGCCACGCAGCAAGCTGGGGCGGCCGGGCTGGGGGAGGCACGCCCCCCGCCGTCGGCCCGGGAGCCGCTCCGGGCTCGGGGCCACCCTGGGTCTGCGCCCCACAGCGGCCCGCCGTCCCGGGCGGCGCCCTGCTCCGAGCAAGGCCGCTCTGTGCACTCTGCCCTCTGCCCTCTGCCCGCGGCCGTCTCCCTGCCTCCCGCGGTCCTGCTCCCTGCCTCGCCCGGACGCTGCGCCGGCCCGCCCGCCCGGCTCTCCGGCTCCGCGCCTCGGCTCGGTCCTGAATCAGGCCGCGGCGCCGGCCCGCTGCGCTCCGGGCTCAGACCCGGGCTCGCCGCTCCGGGGCCGGGCTTCCAGGACGCGCACTTACGCGGCTCAGTTCTAAACCAGGACTGCGAGCTGGGCGCCCGCCGCTCGCCGCTGCGAGGCGACTCCACAGCCTCCGAGGAGAAAGAGGGAGGCAGGGCGGGCAGGGGAGGAGGCGGGGGGGAGGATGGGGAGGGGAGGGAGGCGGGGAGGGAGGGACGGACGGAGAATTCCCTCCTCCTCCCCGCAGCCAGGTCCGGCCCGGCATCGGCAGCTGGAAACCTCTGTTGGAAGAGCGGGGAGCCGAGGTTCCGGGGCGCTGGCGGGGGTGGAGGTGGAGTGAGGGGGTGCAGGGGGTAGAAGAAAGAGGTGACTCTACCCACTCCCTCTGCCCAGGCACGAGGGTCGCCACAGAGAGTCCACCACTCTTTGAGCAAGACCCAGGAAGTCGTCGGTCCTGCTCGCAGCCTCTACCCGCTCCAGGCAGCCTGGAGTTAGGGTTTTTTAAACCCCATTTCAGTATCACCCCTAGGAACCTAACCCCCTCGTAGCCAGCCGGCTTCCCAGCGTCTCATACCACTCCCGAGTCCTGTCATTTTGCGTTCTCTCAAACGTCCTTTATTTTGTTTTTCCTGCCCTGTTCCATATTGGGTGGTGGTGGTGGTGGTGGATTTGTTTACTTTAAGGTATTTATTAAATGCCTACAATATTGGCCCAAATGGTGCTGCGGACACCAGGATGAATGAGAGGGTGCCAGCCCCATCTGGATTCCTATTTTGTGAAAGGAACAGATGAGTGAACACAATTACAGTCAAGTGGAAGAGTGCCACGATCAGGCAAGCACATGGGGCGTGGGGACCACCAATGGCACGAGGGGGTGAGGACAGGGATCAGAGTGTTCTTCCGGGGGTCTCACCTGAACCGGGATCTTGGAAGGACCTGTGGGGGTAGAGCAGGTTAAAGGGGTGTCACTCTGGGAACCGCAAGTCACAAAGTGCCCACAGGGCAGGTGGCTAGTATCTTAGCAGGTGGTGGTCAGCAAGGCCCATAAGACCTTCGAAGGGCTTTGCATTTCATCATTCCCCACCACCTTCTTAGGCTAACTCTTTATTCATCTTGTAGGTCTCATAATTAGTGTGGGAACCTCACTATCCATTTATCTGACTGTCCCCACTGGACTGTAAGCTCCATGAGGGCAGGAATGTGTCTCTGGCTCACTGTTACATCCCTTGTGCCTAGCCGGGGCTTGGCAAAGAGCAGTCACTTATAAATACTTGTTGATCAGTTGGTTGACTGAAGGGAATTGGGAGTCACTGAGGGGTTCTAAACAGGGTCCCTAATGACATCAGTCTAGCCAGAGACAGGGAGGCTGATGACCACACATGGCAGTAGCAGGGTAAAAATGATGCAGGCCTGAGCTAAGCTAGGGGTAGGGAGGATGGAGAAGGAGGCAGTGTGGGGGTAAGGAGGTGGGGGAAGTCAACATTAACTCTTAAGGGTCAGGCTTTTGGGTGACTGTGGATGAAGCCATTTCAGAAACCACAAGAGTTACCCAGGTGCCCCCAAGCCTTTCTTCCTCCCAGCCTACCTGCCTGTGTTTTGCATATGTCTGGTTGTTTTTCTCTGGCCCCTGATCAGCTTCAATGGGCAACTTTTTATTATGTGTCCCTCCCTGTAGCTGTCCTTAGCCACAGCAGATTGACAGAGGAGGAACAGAGAGGTGGGAGGTAGGACTGTACCCCCCCACACTCACTAGATCTCACTGCATTGGTGTCCACCCTTCCCAGTCACTGCCCCTCCACTGAAATATTTTAAAGTTATCTGCCCACTGTGTCTTGTGCATGGTACTCTTTTCAGGCACAATATCTATTTGCACCTCATCCCAATTCTGTGAGGTTGGCATCATTGTCCCTGTTTTGGAGGTGAGGATAATAAAGCTGAAGGTCGCAAGCAATAAGTGATGGGAGGAAGTTATTTGACTGAAGAGTCTAGAACTTTCTATACTGCCACACAATTTCCTGGGAACACCCATCAAAATTACACCATTTAACCCAGTCAACCACTTCCTCCTTGAAACACTCACTTCATGACCCCCACACTCTCCTGAATTCCTCCTGACCTCATGGGTTGCCCTTTCTCAGCCTCCTGATTTTTACTCCTTTTTTCACTCTTACCTCCAGGAGGTTGTTTCCCATCGGCTCTCTCCTGCATCCATTGTCCTTTCTCGCTACCTTCTCTCCATAGATGAAATTTTATGTTTCCATAGCTTTAAATGCCAACTATGTGCTGATGACTCTCCCCAATTTATATTTAAATCTCCAAGGCTGTTTAGTACACTTCAGACCAAACACTTGATGTTTCTACCCAAGGATCTCACAGACATCCTAAACTTAACCTGTCCAAACTTGAACCGTTACCCACCCACCCCCAAGCCTGCTTACACCCTGCACCACATCTTTCCCATTTCAGGAAACGGTACCACCCAGTGGTTGGAGCCTAAAACCTCGAAGTCATCCTTGATTCCTCTGTTCCCATCCAATCAAATTCATGAGAGCAGTTAATCTATCTCCAGAAATATATCCCAATCCATCCACTTCTCTGTCGTTATTGTCCCCACCCTAGCCCAGACCATCATCATCTCTCCACGAGACTACTGCAGCCTCACTACTTCCGAGACCACCTGCAGACACATAACTCAAAGAAGGCTGTGTACATGAACATGACTTTAATATTTGTTCCAGAAATTTCATGTCCAGGACTACCAACCAATAAATAACTTCATTATTTTCTTTAGGAACTTTCTGAAAATCAATTTATCTGAGCAACAGACTGCTCAAACAGCCCCCTTTTTAGGGACAATAGTTTGCTTAACCTGGCAAACCACTAGCTAATCAAACAATTGTTTATTTTTGAAGACCCTCCCTGTGTTACATCCTCCAGTCCTAAACTGTTATCTTACAAATTCTGCCCAATCCCAACCAGATTCCATAGGGAAAGATCTGCTTAAACCAGACCTCAAGACCTATAAATATCTCTACCTGGAAAGCGCTTTCCTAAGTCCTGCTCTTCCCAGAGCAGGAGCCTTTTCAGCCTCTTGTCTCGACACAAATGTCCCTTCCTGCATCTGCCCTCCTCCCACATCCAAAACCATCCTCTCTCTATTCTTCTCAGCCTCATTTGCATCCTTCATAGCACTTATCACAATTGGTGCTTATTTTATCTGTTTTCTCGTGTTTTTCTCAGCCCTTTAGACTGTAGGTTCTGTAAGGGAAGAACCTTGTCTGCCCTATTTTCTGTTTAATTTCCAGGGCCCACAGTCCATGCTCAAAATCTATTTGCTGTGACTTTGATGGCTTCGGTGAGTGTGACCTCCCACCCACTCCCAAGTCTGCTCGTGAGACACCCTGAGGGCTGCATGCCCAGAGGCACTGGGGTTCCACACACCCCCTTTAGCCTCCAAGGTTAGAGACAAGGTGTAAAGAGCAAATGCCCAGGGAGACTAATGAGAGGATGAAATCCACAGCATGGTGTGAATTGCTTTCCTCTGTGCGGCTGGAGCAGGTGAGGGGGAGACACCTCCCAGAGGGCAAGTGAGGTGAGGAGCTGGGAGAAGGCCCGGCGTTGGGCTCCCTGTCCCATGCTTTGTGGAAAGTCCTCCGCTCTTAACCCTGGACCAGCCGCACCTGATGAAGGGCCATTTCCTCCATGAAGCCCGCAGGAGGGTGTGTGCAGGGCAGGGCAGGGCAGGGCGGGCTCAGCCTCGTAGAGCTTGTGTGGGTACCAGCTCTTCATCCCACTGGCTGGGCAAGTGCTTTTCCACATGGCCACGGCCAGGCTTTGCCGACACAAGTGCTCAGCTCAGACGGGTCTTGTAACACGGTGGATCCCCCGCAGCCCCTTTTCAGAGGCAGGTTGTCCCTTCAGGCTGAGGGTTGGTGGGCTCTACTCAGGTCTGCTTGACCTTTTCCAGAGAGTCATACATGGGTTTGGAAATGAACCAAGAAAATAATAGGCTGGTTTGCGTTATTTCATTTGCAGGTCAGAATCTGGGAATCTAAGATCTGGGAGAAATCTGCCTTCCAGAACCATCTCCTCCTGCTCCTCTCTGTGCACAGAAAGGGAAGGTAACTTGCCCAAGGCAGGCACTTTATACACCATCTTCTTAAATCTAGTAACAACTCTGTGAAGATGGGGAAAGTTCCATTTTACAGATGAGGAAAATGACACTCAAAATAATGAAGGGGCAAGAATAACAGGTGAACCCAGGTTTTTTGGGCCTGAAATCCACGCTCTTTCTGCTGTAGCATCCTGCTTTGCTTCCTATGGGGTTTATGGTCCTTAGATTCTGAACCATACAAACTAGCGCTTAAATATTATTCAACAACCTAAACCCCTAGAAGTAGAGATGGCTGTTTCTTCTGTGACATTCGGCTTCCTGTCCCCCATATGGAGGACTTGGCCCATACCCACCCCAACACAAGTGTGCGCACACCCGGGGACCCCACTCAGTGAATGTTGTGAGCCCTTTTTACGCACACACGCTTTCCAGACTTCACGTACCAAGCTACCATCGGGAATCGAGCGTAAGTGGGCTGCAGGAGTCATTCTCACCCCCAGCGCTAGCACACATTTCCTCTCTGTAAATTTAATTATTAGTTGTCCTCCTAAAGGCTGGGGGTAAAAATCCCGCCACAGGTCTTACTGATCAACGTGGAATGGGTGCAGTGCAGAGCCAGACACGCACCCGCGCACGCGCACCACTGGGTGTTTCTTTTTCTTTCTCTTCTCTCCCATCCCTTCCCACAGAGGCGGCCTTAGGCCCACCTGAAAAGGCAGCCGACCTGGGGTGGGGGAGAGAAGTGGTGTGTGTGGGGGGGGGTCCCTTCCCAAAGGCTGGGGCAGCTCAGAAAGTCCTGATAAGGCCTCCTCGGTCCTCTCCACTTCCTGCCCCCAACCCGGCTTCCAGGGCCCCTCCTCCACCCCTAACTTTTTTTTAAACTCTCTTTCCTGTCTTGAGGAGACCTAGATCCTCATCCTGGGAGGGACTGGCAACAATTAACAAAGGCACCATGGAGTAAAGACAATTAACAATCCAGAAAAGAGGGGAAAGAGAGGCTTTGTTCTGATCTCCATGGCAACGTGGGGGGGAGAAGGGGCCATCTAGAGAGGCTGATACTTTCACTTTCCTTTCTTCCCTCCCCTCTCCCACCCCCTTGGGTTTCCGCCAGGGAACGGGGCCGGGACAGGCCAAGTCTGCAGGTGGAGAGCCTAGGGGGTGACTCCATGCCCTAGCTAAGAACTTGCTGGGGAGCTAAGGCTAAAGGGAAAGCCATGAGGCCTGCGTCAAAGGCACGCTCCCCTTCCTTCTCCTTTTCTGAAGCCTGTTCTTGGGCTAAGAACCTTATCCAGAGTCTATGCTCTGGACAGCTCATGGTCGAAAGGAGTTTGAGTGGCTTGTAATTCCTTCCTCAGAACATGGTGGGAAGTGGACTCGGGCACAGGACAGGCCAACACAACTTCCAGGGCCCACTGCAAAATGACACGTAGCACCCCTTGTTCCAAAATGATTAAGAATTCAAGATGGTGATAGCAGAGCATTAAATCAAGCCCTTCTGAGCACAGGGCCCTATGCAGCTGTCTACGTTGAACACCCGTGAAGCCAGCCCAGAGCAGAAGGTAACTTGGGCTTGGGCTCCGTCGGCCTGATCAGTGTGTGCGTGTGTGTGACGGGAAAGAGAGAGAGAGAGAACACTTCCCCCGATTTCATTTCCTGCACTATCACGACGACACTGAACTAGGTGATCCAACGTGGCTTGCCCCCTCTATGGGTCTGTGCTTCCTCTAGGATGCGAGAATATTTTTCAGGCTTCTCTCTACTGCACACAGCTCTGAGCTCCATGTCAGAGCAAGACGAAAACCAAGCACAGAAAACTCCTTCGCAGGAATGGGGCGCTCTGGTGCCCAGCACCCCCAGGCTTCCCTGTTTTGGAAGACGCAGGAGGCCATAAGGTAGGAGCTCCAACCCCTTGCTAAGGAGCATGCTGTCAGTGTGGGGGCAGTTAGCAGGCACCTTCCGCCTCACAAGGGTTTCTAGAGCAGAAGCCAAGCACACCAGCCCGGCCTCGTGAGAGGGCCTCTCCGGGAGCCGTAGGAGACTGGCTGCCAGGACATTTCTTGCTTCTAGCAAACCTAACATCATGATAGAAAATGGGTCAGGGACTCCAGAGCCTTATCTTTCTAGGGCTCAGCCTTACTGCTCTGCGGATCCAATGACATGAAGAATATTCATCACAAACTAAAATCAAGGAGAAAAGAAATCAATTCCATCACAGGCCCCAAACCAGGCATGAGGCCAGAAGTCCTCTTGACAGGCAGGAGGGCCCTGTCCTCCCAGGAACTCCTTGGAGGGGTGCTGTCACGGGCTGAACTGTGTCCCCTCCTTCCCCAAATTACTATGTCCTAACCCTAGTACCTCAGAATGGGACTATATTTGGAGACGGGTTCTTTATGGAGGTAATTAAATTAAACTGAGGCCATTAGGGTGGGGTCTAACCCAGTAGGACTGGTGCCCTTACAAGAGGAAATTTACGCACAGACCCACCGAGGAAAGCTGAAGTGAAGAGACACAAGAACAGGGTCGTCTGCAAGCCAAGGAGAGAGGCCTGGGGAAGCTCCTTCCCGCGCGGCCTCAGAAGGAAACAACCTTCATAGACTTCTAGCCACTAGAACTGAGAGAAAACAAATTTCTGCTGCTTAAGCCATGCGGTCTGTGGTATTTTGTCAGGGCAGCCCTAGCAACGAAGTGTGGATGCTTAGAGGCTGGGAGGTCTGAGTAGCCTTGAGGCTGCCTGGACTCAAAGAATGTGTCCGCAATAAGGGGGTCAGGCCTGTATTCTTGCACTGAAGCATTACGTTAACTCGAACCAAAATTGATCTATTACTGTCTTCCCCCATCGCCCAGTCTTTTAAATTTTTTATTTCTTTTGGTATTGGCTTAACACGTTTTATTGTTTTAATCCCTGTAGTCTTTTATTTTTTCTGGTTCTAATGATGTTACTTACCTCAGTCATTTTTAATCTCTGTTTTGTCTTTCTTCTAGCTATTTTATACTATCTACTTTTATCTCATCTTATCTTCCAGATTTATTGTTATTGTATTATCTTTTTATTCTCCATCTTTTATTTCTAACCTTTGGCGTATCGTGTCTTTGTTCTATCTTTTCATTTCTTTTTAGTTAATTTGGTTTATATTTAGTTCAGATTATCACTTTGCCTGCTGTTTTCTTTTTTGTACTGTTTTTTACCAGCTTTTTATTTCTTCTTAGTTTATTTTATCTTTTTATTGACTGTTGCATTATCTTCCATATTTTACTGTTTTCGATTCTCCCAGCTTATTAAATGTGGAGGCTGGAAACACAGCCCTTGGGGGATTGCAGCGAGGCCAGGCCAGGCCCCAGCTGGAGGGCCGGCTGCCCTGCCTCTCCAAGCCGGCCCTCTCAGCAGCTCCCAGTAGACGCCCCCTTTACCTCCAAAGCTAGTCTCTCTTATGTATAAGAATTAATCTGTGTAATATAAGAGACCTTGGGATAAAATTCTCTCGGGAAGATAGCAGGTTTGCTTATAGTAATAACGCATTATATATGCTGGAAGAGGCTTACGTTCTCACATAATAAGCCATCAAACTGATCTGTGCACTACACCATCTAAAATTTACCATTGCTAAACATCCGACGAACGCTATAAAGAAATCACACTACTTGATGGGTGGGTGTGGTGGATAGGAAATGTCAGTTCAGGAAGAGCTCTCAACATGCCTCCTCAGGTTCACTTTGAACAAGAAACCAAGAGATCTACAGCCTTGCAACTAAAGTGTCTGGGAAGGGGACTTCTAGAATGTTTACATCTGGCTGCCTCTCATCCATTTATTTGATAAGTATGTACTGAGAACCTACCTACTATGTGCCATGAATGATGCTAGGCAATAACAACAAAGTGAAGATCCAACGGAGCTAGGGTCCTTTTGCTATCATGTTTATAGTCTTAAAAAATGATACGTACCTATGCCCAATCTGATTTGCTTTCCATGCAGGATTACAGGAGGCTATTATATCAGAGATGCCAGCTGTTCCTCAGTACTTGTTTTTCCCTTCTAGAGTAACACAAATTTCAGCCAAGAAAAGGGCTGCCAATCAAAAGACTGCATTTTCAGCCTCCCTTGCAGCTAAATATGACCGTGTGCTTAGGCTCTGTTCTCTAGAACCTGAGCAGAAGTGATACATACAAATTCCTGATTCTGCCCTACAGGACGTATGCAGAATGACATATGCAACTTCCTGGTTATGTCCTTAACAGTAAAGGGTGTATTCTTCCCATTCTCTCTTTCTCCCTTCTGTGGACTGGAATGTGGGCAGGACAGCAGGAGCTGTGGCAGCTATCTCAGGACATGAGATGAAAGAAAGGCACTGAAAAAGGAGTCTGGGTGTCTGATGCCGTGGAGCCCCCATAAAGCTCTGTGGTGTTTATTCCTGAACAATTACAGGAGACTAATAAACAGGGATCTTGTATAAGCCACTGTGATGTTGGCCTTTGTTACAGCAGCTGAGTCAGCTCTCTAGCACATATGTATCCCCTAAAACTTCTCCTTATTTTGAGGTGAGCTTAGAATCATATCCTTCCACGAGCTTTTAGGAGTAACCTGCCGGGTTACTCGCATGGGCAAGAAGAGCCCTTCCTCTCGCCAGGCTGCATGAGGGTGGGTGATCTGCTGCATTCCACGGCTACACCCTCCTCACTGTCCTGTTCTCTTGAGTCCCGAAAAAGAAA